GAAGATGAACATGAGATGATACAGGAGTTGTCTCCCTGCATCATGCTAGATTCTCTAACTGCTACACCACATGGCTTATTAAGAGCCGCTGTTTTCCTTCCGCTCTAGGATTGCTTATGGGTGAGGGAATTGTGAGTTGAATGGCCCTGAGTAATATTCATACCTCAGGAATCCTGAAATAATTATCCTGAATAATTTATTTTGGTTTAAGAATGCCAGACTACAGGGGACATAACTAGTTATTTAGTAGCCAATTTTGCTTCTGATCTTTTTTAGGGGAGGAAATGGCATTTTCTTTAAACAGGAAGTGACCTTCTGGTTATGGGGTGGAATGGGAAGCATGGCCTGCTGCAATTCATATGTGTCAAAACTGGCTGGATGCCACCCTTGTACTATTGACAGCTGCCCGCACCTGACATTTCAAGAATCTGACTGGATAAATTTGCACTGTGAATTACCGTGTACATGATTCCTGTTCGTACCATTTCTGAAGTGCCGGGTGGTGGGGCCACGCGAAGCAGAGAACAAGGCCCCTGCCCCTTTGAAATGTGTGTGCAAGCTTGAATGGCAAGGTCTACAAAATGAAACTCTCTCTTCAACCCAACTCTTGAAGGCAGAGGAGCCCTGTCCTCCTGTTCATGCGGCCACCCTCTTGGGCATGACACTGTCGTAAACCAACAAAATCTTAAGATGAAGCTTGTGTTAGATTCTTGAAAGGGAGCAGTGCTCCCCCCCCCAAAAAAAATAGAAACAAGAGGGCAGGAAAACTTCAAGGCACTTGTATGTTCCAAGACATGAAGGGTGTGTATGTAGGATAAAGCCCTTTTGGGGTTTATATATCGAGAGCTCGAGAGGGCCTGATTAAAAATGCAAGGCTTATCGCCCGAGGTGTCCTCAATAACAGATATGTTTCCCCCCTGCATTTATTTTGGAACTGCTGCAATGCTGCAAATATTCCTGGGGCTCGGAAGAATCTCAGAATACTGGTGGAGGGGAGGTGTGTGGCTGCGGCTTCTGAAAAATGCCTTCGAAAACATGAGGGGTGAATCGTTCCTTTTTGGGGGACGTGGGTAAACATAAAGTGTACAAAAACCACTGCCGGTGTTTTTAACAGCTGCTTGAGCATCTGCTGAATAGCTCAGTGGTTTAGGTCTCTGGCTGCGGAGGCAATAGTGGTTTAGGTCTCTGGCTGCGGAGCCAATAGCTGGGAGTTTGATTCCCCACTGAGCCTCCTTAACGGGGGGCTGGACTTGATGATCCTTAGGTTCCCTTCTCGCTCTGGGCTGGACTTGATGATCCATCGGGGCCCTTCTAGCTCTGAAGTTCTACGATTCTAATTTCAGACCTTAGCAGGACCAACATGCTTATTTCTCATGTCTTGAAAAGCTTTGTCTGCTGCTCTCTAAAAAGTCAAGCTCAGGGACAAGCCTGGATCCCCCCCCAGTTATTTGACAACTTTGTGTGTGTGTGTGCGTGTGTGTGTGCGTGTGTGTGTGTGTGTGTGTGTGTGTGTGTGTGTGTGTGTGAGAGAGAGAGAGAGAATCTCTTTTTTAATTCTCTATTTTAGTTATTTTCAACCATTATAAATATTGCATCTGTTTTACCAATACGCCATGAAAACACTCATTAATCTAACTTTTCTTTTTTAAAAGAACAACTGTGTTTCCACATCAGTACCACCGGCACATTGGCTGAATGCCTGCCGGTTTTGACATCAGCTTGAAGCCTTCTCAGGTGCTGTACCTTCTTTATCGAGGGATAGCCCAGAGTATACGTACATCAGGCATCCTCTCTTTGTTTTTTTTTTTTAAAGTTCCTAAAAGTTTTAGAAAAGCTTTTTCCTCAATTACCTGGGAAAGGGGAGGAAGACAAAGAGATACTGTACCTATTATACTGACCAATATTTATTTTGCCGCTGGCCTTCTTGCTTGCGATCGTTTGTTATAGTTACTTCTTATATCATTTATGTTTTACATATTTATGTCTCTTCATTTCTGTTCTACACTACCCAGAGTAGCGATTTGCTATATGGGCAGTACAGAAATAAAATAAAATAAAAAACAAACAAACAAATAAAAATATGTGAACATCTCCCAAAGCCTCTTGTTGTTGTTGTTTTACCTTGAGCG